AAAACTGATTCAATTTCCGCTCGGGTCGAGGCTGGGATGGCCGCTCTCAGGTTTCTCTCTGGTAGGTACATGCATGGTGGAAATGAATGGAAAAAGTGCTCGTCGAGGCTGGGATGGCCGCTCTCATGTTTCTCTCTGCCACTAGCGGTTGCAGCGGTTGGCATCACTGTTTCGAAGTGTTGCGCGTTGCGCCGCCATTTTCTGTGTGCGTTCTTGGTTGTGCGGTTTACATTCCGGAGATTTCTACAGAGAAGCACGATGTCCTCAGCAAGCGGTGACGAGGCCGAGGTCGCACTCGCCGAACCAGGTAAGGGAACAGCTCCACGAGCCGGTATCGATCGTCCGCGAGCGATCGTTGCCGAGGAACCGCGCGTTTGCAAGGATATGCCTGCCGCCCGGCGCGGTCGCCCAGCCCCACGAGACGGCGCCATTTCGCCGAGACGGCGTCTCGCGTTGTTCGGAGCCTTGTGATAAAATATATCGTCGTATTCTAGTGAGACGTACCAGATCAGGTCGGGCCCGAAAGACAGCGGTGGTGGCCAAGAAGTCGCCCGTGAAGAAACTCCTTGCCCGGGCGACGCGCTTTCCGCGAAGGGTCCATGAGATCGAGGAGGTCGAAGTAAGGATTGGGCCAATTTCGAAACCGGTTGCATTGGCGTGGATCAAGCGTGATCTTCGTCGTCTGGCAATGAGATTGAGGCAGAGTTGCGATGCGCCAGTCAGGCTTTTTGTTTATTTTCTTTTAATGTAGACACACTTGGAGTTGTGTTCTACAAATAAAAGCGAACTATCTAATGATCAGATATATCTCGTTAGAGTTTACCAAAGAACAGTGTCAAGTATAATGCTTAATATAACTTTGGGATAGTGGTTCAATTTTATGTCATAATAGCTGCGTTTGATATTGCAGATCCGAGGCGTCGGAGTGCTCTCTTGTGTTAGGGATAGAAAAAGGGGAAGAGCGCTTTGATGCCTCAGATTTGCAATGCCGAACGCAGCTAACTTGTGTAAATGATGATCTGTTTGAGAACTGGGGAATATTATGCGGAAACAAGTTTTAAGTAATCAATTGTAATTACAGGAAGAAACTACATCTACCTTGGAAGAAGGGATGATGGAAAATATGTCCGAGAATGGAGTTGAACATCTGTCGGACGTTATTGTCGAGCAACGCAGCGAGGAAGACACGCCCATGTTGCATCTGGAATTGGAGGACTCTGAAGAAAGTTCTAATATGCACGAAATACCTATGAGTCAAAGCGAAGAACTGGAGCAAGATGTAGAGGATATGGTAAATAATAATATACACGTCTCATTTTCCTTAAGGCTTACTGAAACACATCATGTAATATTATTTTTATTATTGTTTTACATTATTATGCATTATTGGTTTTACTATTTAGTATTGCTAGGATTACTAGTATTACTAGTAACATTTATGTATCTCTTAGTTCACACTGTACATGATTTATGTATGCCATACTTTGACTTGCGCCTTTGAAAGTAAATCACAAATTTATACTTATAATTTTGCACTTGGTATTACTGTTCTGTAATTATTGTATTAATAAAATGTACATATGTAACAACACGTAAATGAACATACTTAAGTGAACCTGAATAACTAAATTTAAAACTTCATCAGCCAAACGAAAATAACTAAGGTGCAGTACAGATAGAGCAACAAATAAGCTAAACGAAATTCGTATAAAATAAAGTTCTTGATTAAAACTCGAATAAAAATGAAAACAATTGAAAATGAAATGGCTCGCTAATTAGGTAATTAATCACATTTCAATTCCCCATTTATACATCACCATTTGTAATTCCTAAACTCTAATCAATCATGTTAATGAGTTGCCTATCTGTTTACGTAATTCATTTGTATAATTCCCAGCCTTTTCCATTTTTTTTTTTAGAAATTTCTCTATTGGTATTTTATCTTTAGTCTCTTCTTTCAGTACATGTATTGAATTTTTTATTCCTTCTCCACTACCCTACATTTCCTACCTTTGTCCTCCCGCCAGTGTTGATTTTCTCTTATTCCATATTGGCATTTATATAGTCAGGATCTTTCATTTTCTTTGTTTCTTCTATATTCTCTTCTTCCTTGCCTTTTCTTCCTCTTTCAAATGCCACAACTTTTAATTTGTCACGATCAATCCTTTTCTTTTGATATATTTCTTTAATTTTGTTATAATTTCGTTTCTCCTCACTTTTTACCTGTAACATCGTCATTATATGTAATCAAATAGATTTTTCCGTTGCATTACATTATATTTCATAAAATTTGGTTTATTTTTAGCGGCATTCCAATATAAGATCAGAGGGTATAGTTATGGAAGACAATAGCATGGACAAGGAGATGCTGGCTGAACGTGGAGACATCGAGATGGAGGGTCAAGATGTCAGTAATGATGATTCAAATCAGCAACGCGTATTGATAGACTTTCAAGAAGTTATCAATGAAGATGGTAGTACGATGACGCAAGAGATACTAGAAGCGGAAGAGGTAGATTCGGAGAACATGTCCGCGCACACCGCCACCAGGATCCAAGTTATGGAGATTGATGATTCTCAGCAAGAGATGTCGGAGGATGTGGATACAGTGATGGGCAAGGTGGAGGAACCTGACATGGAAGTGTTGCAGGATGACTCCCTGCCGCGCATAGAGATAACTGCAGCTGAAAACGAAGAGATACACGAATACATAAATGAGGATGACGCGAAGAAAATCGAGCCCGATACGGAGGCTGTGTCAGAAGACGAGTTACCGACTGAAGCCGCTGCCAAGGTCAGAATCGTTAGATTCGCATCTTCGACGTACATAATTAATAATCTTCCATTTTGTATAATATTTAATTTGTGGCTCGATAGCATAAATAATTTTAAATGCGCAGGAACCAGAGACCGAAGCGGTTTCCGATGAAGAACTGCCGGTTGCTGCTCCAGCAGATCTGGGCGAGACCGAGTCCGTGTCCGAGGATGAATTACCACCGGACAGCGACAAAAAGAAAAAGAGTGGAGCGAAGTCAATCAAAACAACGGACAAGAAAACCAAAGCGGAGGGCGGAAGTAAGTGCATTTCTCGACAGTGTTTCATGAGACTTTGTTGTTTGAAAGCGATTCTCTTACATGTTTCTTGTACTTTCAGCCAAACGTAAATTGAACGCGGAAGGAGAATACGACCCCAGTTCTCCGACATCTGAAAACAATGACGAGGCACCAGCGAAAAAGGTCGCCTTGTCGAGCGATACAGAGGCGGGAGAGAAGCAAGAGATCAAGCCAGCGTCGCCGAAAAAGAAAACGTTGCCCGAGCTAGAAAAATATTGGAAAGCCGTTAATGAAGATCCATCTGACTTTACGGGATGGACATATCTTTTACAATACGTGGATCAAGAAGTAAGTAAAAGCATCAAAGGTATTTACTTTACCTTGAGGTGCAATCTATGCGTTAATCATTCTTAACTAAACAACTTTAGAATGTGAATCGCCAGTGAATGTTCAACGATAAAAAGAATTGTTAGACGACTTAGGCTGGCAGATGGTTTATTTATTCGTTTAATTCTTAACTAACCTTAATCTAATTGAAAGCGTCAAAGTTTGAGACATTGTATTTGAGCAGCAATTATGGAAACGTCTGAAAGTATCACGATGTACAGAAATGTTTCTTTAATGAATCTGAAGTGACATCTGACCTTTTGTCATTTTTATCGCAGAACGATGCGGAGGCTGCGCGCGAAGCTTACACCAAATTCTTGGAGCGTTATCCATATTGCTACGGTTACTGGAGAAAGTTCGCCGATTACGAGAAGAAGAAGGGCAACCCCGAAAATGTCCAAACGGTGAGTCCGATCGTATATTACGTTCGCTAGGCTACCTCTCATTATATGATATCATTATAATTAACGCAATCTAATGAAAATAGCTCGAGTTAGGAAGACGCGTGGGCAGTGTGCACGCACATAAATATGGTTTTCCCTTCCAACAGCATAGCACGTCTTGCGGCACCTATTCGACTTTCTCCGTTTACAAAATAGTTACTTATTTAATTAATATCCTGCGATACCTACAAAAAACATGCTATATTACATATTTTACTATCTTACCGATATATCGAATACATCAAGTACTCTATCGTACGATACGTAAGTCGAGCGTGATGGCTAGTTGTTTCCGAAGCGCCTTTATCGCGGTAGAAAGAAAGAAAACTATGTTATATTTACTGTAAGCATTTGTACACATAGCTTACTACAGAAAGTATTGTAAAACTTAAGCATAAGATATATGCGCTCTTACTTTATGTAAGTAAGATATGTCGGGTTGGGTGTTAAGTCAAAGTCAGAGACAAAGACTTAGGACACGTGCACGTGCCAGAGTGGGAGCAAGAAAGAGTGGCGGAAGACACTGTGGCGCCCAGATCGGAACACTCCCTGATTTTTAAGGTGAATGCACAATGCTCTGCAATCTCTGTGTTAATTACATCTCTTTATTTACAGTACGCGTACGATATGTGAGTATACGTTGCTAAAAAAAAGACCGTAATGCTTAACGAAAGCTAAAAGCAAAATAGGTATAAGATCTACCCGCCGATAAGCCCAACCCAGTTGTAAACTGTTCTAAATACGATTTACAAATCCATTACCGCAGGTGTTCGACCAAGGTCTGAAAGCTATTTCGCTAAGCGTCGATCTCTGGCTCCATTACATCAACCACTGTAAAACCGTCTATGAAAAAGATGAAGAGAAGCTCCGGGAGCAGTACGAGCGAGCCATACAAGCTTGCGGGCTTGAGTTCAGGTAACGAAAACAAATCTAGTTTTTCTTCTAGATCTCCTTTATAAACTTTCTTTATAGATACATGTATATTTCTATCAGTTTATATGTTATTAGCCACATAAAAGTTAACAATTTATTTCTTCAGTACTTTACCTGTCAATGTATAACATATACGGATAAAAATGTACTTGGATAAACTAGCTGAGACTAAACGAACAATGTAACAATTTAATGTAAAACAGATCGGATCGTCTCTGGGAGAGCTACATAAAGTGGGAGTCAGAGGGAAAACGCTTGAGCAGAGTGACAGCGCTGTACGACCGTTTGCTGTCGACACCTACCCTTGGTTACACCTCCCACTTCGAAGCCTTCCAAGAATTCGTGTCGTCCAACTTGCCAAATCGTATTCTAAGTGTGGACGACTTCCTTGCACTACGCGCCGAGGTGAAGGCCCTTCTGAAATCGGATGACGCCACCGCGACATCCGCTGCTGATGACGCGCCACCCGGTGAAGAACCGCCGCCCCACGAGGTACCACCTACTGACGAGGAGACTCGTGCCATCCGTGAGAAGATCATCAGCAGCAGGCGCAAGATGCACAAAGCGAACGTCAATGCGGTGGCAGCGAGATGGACGTACGAGGAAGGGGTACATGGCAATTTCAATTATAATTATAATATGCTCATTATGGTCACGCTTGAAATGATTTACTAGCAAAATGACTTCTTAATTTCAATACGTTGTTTCACTGTTGTAAATGGAAAAAGTTTTCACTCATTTCGATCCCTCGCCGTAGCTCTAGAACTACCTATTCGCGCAGTAAATGTGGATTCGTTGTAGTACAGAAGTCAATCTTTTACAATCTTTTATGTTGTAAGTAAAAAAAAGTATACTCCAAATTAAAAGATTTGGATGCATTAATTAATTTCACTTTAAAGCAAATTTCAAATTAGTTTATAGTCCAAAGCAATTGTATGTCTACTCTAATTATACGATGATTAATTAACAGATAAAGAGACCGTATTTCCATGTAAAACCATTGGAACGGTGCCAGTTGAAAAACTGGAAGGAGTATCTAGATTTCGAGATTGAACAAAAGGATCAGAATCGAATAATCATCTTATTCGAGAGGTGTCTTATAGCTTGTGCGCTCTATGATGAATTTTGGATGCGAGTAAGTAGATATCAATCCATGTTAATATATTACTGTTACATGCTAATTCTTGTCTTCCACTTCAAACATAAAATTAAAACTTGTTACTCACTAATCTTAATATCAAGTTTTTAGTTAATTTTTATATATTGTAATTAAAAATCACATCTCGTTTCGAATGCTATTTTAAAACAGCCAACATTAATATCTTAGATTATAACTCGTATGTACAGTTAAAAATCATACGGTATATCATACATGATTTTTGTTTCTTCGTTTTCATAGTTTGTGCGTTATTTGGAATCGCTGAAGGGAGATAACACAGAAAAGATCCGAGATGTATATTCGAGAGCTTGTATGGTACATCATCCAAAGAAACCAAACTTGCACTTGCAATGGGCCATCTTTGAGGAGGGTCAGGATAACTTCGAGAAGGCCGCCAGCATATTAGAGAATATTGATAATGTTTTACCAAATATGCTGCAGGTAGCATACCGACGAATAAACTTGGAACGCCGTCGTGGAGACTTAGAGAAAGCATGTACTTTATATGAGAATTATATTAGCAATAGTAAGAACAGGACAATTGCTAATAATATTGCTGTAAAATACGCGAGATTCTTATGTAAAGTCAAGGATGACGTTGACAAGGCAATTAAGATATTGATGAAGGTACGATTAACTGCAAAATTAATTTCTATCCATGTATCATAGCGATTTGTGTGCGACGATATTAACACACGGTGCATTTTTTTTATACAGGCCACAGACAAAGATAAAGACAATCCCAGACTATATCTACAATTAATTGATTTGGCAATGCAACGAACGCCAGTTGACACTCAAGAAATAGTAGGCTACATGGATATGTTTATAGAAAGAGAACACGCGGATCTTGAGCAGAGAGTACTTTTTGCGCAACGCAAGGTAGAATTCCTGGAAGACTTCAGCCCCGACATCCGGCAAGTGTTGAAGGCTCACGAACAGTTCCAGAAGTGCATCAAGCAAGCGAAAGAGAGAAAGAAGACGAAGGGTGATGACAACAAAACGTAAGTTGTAGAAATTCTAAAAATGAAGATATTAAAATTAGTCTTATAAAGTAACTTCATATGATTTTAACATTGTATTGTCTTATATACTAACATAATCAAGATATTTTGATAGAATATACTAGTTGTAATAAACACATTGATTAATGTGTGAATATTGCTACTAAATACAAATCTAATTCCAACCATTTCATTGAATAAATCATTCTTATATATTTAAGAAACTAAAAAAATACATATATTTAAATTGCTTGTGATAGAAAATTATCTTATGACGCCACTATGTTGCAGCGATTCTTCCCCTCCGAAGAAGAAAGCCGATCAATCCAATGTACCACCTTCGCCATCCGTGGGCTCGCAATCCTCATACCAATACAGCAGCGGTCCGAGCGGGCCCTATCAATCGCCACAACAGTTCCAGGGTGGACAGTACGGCGGTCAGGGTGGTTATCAACAAGGTTACCAGCAGTATCCACCTCCATCAGATCCTAATTATGCTAATTATCAAAATTGGCAGTACGGTCAAGGTGGTCCACAGGCTTATGGACCCTATAATCAGTGGGGATCTTACAATTATTATTAATATCAGTCATATAATTGTCTAATCCTTAAGATTATCATACTGTTAAATGTGTCCTACTGTACATTTTCTAGCGTTTTATTCTATCAATTTCGAAAGACAAAAGAATTATTAATTGTTTAATCTTGGTATCCTGACATGTGAGAGCTTATGCTAAGCGTTTCTCTCTCTCTTTCTCTCTATATATATATGAATAATTGATACCTTGCATGGATATTTACTATATGTGCTGAATAAACTGTACATCATTAGTAGAACTTTATTCCTTGTTTATATTGCTATCTTATATTGCATTCAAAATTAAATATGAAAAAACGATTAATTATGGAATAATCATTATTTCAATCTTTATTTTAAAAAATTTAAATATATATTCTGGAATTTTATATCAAGAAATATATGCAATTTTACTAAGAAAGTGAACAAGTAATTAAAACCTACTTCTGGTGTATAGTTTTTCTAGAATTTTTCTCTTTGTGTGTTCACATAACATCAAAGCGTTGCAGCTTATAGCATTAAATGTGAAGATGAATTTCACAGATTACATCTACGCGATTCTTAATAAATTATAGATTCCAAGATTATTGCATATTATCAACGAAATTATATGAAGTGTAAGAAATGTGCTATATCTTATGACACACTACATCATAGATATATTACGCTATGTAGTACATTCAAGTTTGTATAAATTCATCGTCGATTTACATACATCAATTTACTTGCTTTTTTTGAAAAAATCTTTGTCGCAGATCGTAATTCTCTACGTTTTTTGTTAAATTTGTGTGTTGAATCAATCTACATTTTCAAACAAGCCATGTTTGATGCAGAATATTAAGAAATACCCGTTAACAAATGTTGAAACAAATATTCTGTATTACTTCGAACGTGTGTCTTTATTGAAGATTTGATACGTATACGATTACATTTTCGTGATATTCAGTAAGTTTCGCAACGTAATTTAGTTTAACAATTTAATATAAAAATTAATGCTTTTTGATTATTTGAGACATTAATGAAATAACAGTTGTTTTTATAAGTTTACGATTATTCCGATGTTTATGAGTTTTCAATCTTTGAATATATAACAGTGTACAACTTATAATTAAAACTTTGTGAAACTAAATAACTCTAATCATTCCTTTTTCATATAAATTTTGCAATTCAATATAATTACGTTAATTATCACATAAGAAGGGAACAAATTTTTATTAATTTGTTTTAGATACGTTTCTCAACAATTTCAACACACATTATCATAAGGATTTTAACGGCATCAATTTAGATTTTGATTATATTTTTAGATTGTGTTCAAGATTTCAGGTATATATTAAATTGACATGGTTTCGCATAGTTATCTTTATTGCGTTTAATAAAAATCCAATTCCTACTTATTTTTCCTTATTTCGCTTACTTTCTTACAAATCATTTTTCCCCTCTTTGGTTAAGTTAATATAAATGGCATATAAAACTACTCTTCAGGACTGCGCACAGTTAAAAATTCGTTGTAAAACTTAAAAAAAATGCCGACGATCTACAACAAATTTAAGAACTGTAAAATATAAAAGTGTCTCGAGGGCGAGAGGGTTACACTTTCATTTCTTTACTTATTAATTTTTACACACGCAATTAAAATTTAGCTAAGTTAAGAGAACATTTAACATCCTCTATTGCCGTAGTTCCAACATCATTGCACATTTTAACACTTTAAATATTTATATATATTATCTATATTATTTTATAAAGAGATTTGCGAAACATTAGCGAATTACTATATAATGTAGCTTTGAACTTTTCAACAAACGAGCAGGATTGTCGTAAACGATTACATCGTCTTTATCCCAGTAGATACGCAAAAAATTAAACTTAGCCTCAATATATTGCACAATACGTACTTAATTGGCGCCAGATGATTCATACGTTTGCCAGATACTTGCACAATTAAGCTGAATATCAATATCGAGTAGGTACTATAATACATAGTGTAGACTGATAATGAGGTCAAGTTGCGTTCGTCAAATATTTGGCAAGCGAATGAATCCAGTTTTAAAAATCGATATTGATTAGTAAAAAAGGATATCTCTATATATATCTATATATGCATGTATAATATATAACTTCGTTTGGAACGATTATAAGTTAATTGTTATGAAAAACTTATTTACGTAGTCAGCATTAAACAACCACGGCACTCGAGGCCATCGTATTAACTCCGCAGGTGCCATCCCCGCGGTAGACTCTATAGTATCCTTGTTCGCCCCACGATTTTCCCCAGCTGTTCTTAATGATCCAATACGGTAACTTTTTGTGGAAGAGCGGATAGCCTGGAAAGAGAATTGGATGTAGTGTCGTCTCTATTATCGTGCTCGATATTATAATTGTAAAACCTTAGAGAAGAGATGCAAGTTAAAAATACAGCGTCTTTTAAAAAGGTGTTGATCTTTACAATTAATACAATATTCTTAATTATCAGATTATATGTGTGCTTATTAGCAGTAAGTATAAAAATATAAGATTGTTAAGCTGTAAAACCATAATCACGAGAAAGATGATTAAAATATTAATTTCTCTGGATCTTCATGGAGAAGAAAATGCAATGTAAGCTCTGCTTTTTCTTGTGCCTTTTCAATGCTTTTCGATCGCTTGTTCGAAACCATCTGAACGTGATACGTACTGCTTGTGCCATATCCGACGATCAGCACGCCGTGATCCAGATTCTTGGGATTGCACAGGAATTTGAAAGGATGCGAGACGCCGCCGATGTAGAACTGCATGGCGTTAGCGTTGATGCCGATAGAGATCGGGCCGTTCTGCACGAGCCACTGCGCCATTTGCACCTCGTCCGATGTAATGTTGACGGCGGAGGCCAGCTGCACCTTGGCCAAGTTCTTCTTGAAGTGACACTTCTCGTTCTCCGCCTCGTACGGATAGTCCGACTCCAGCTCGAGCCCGCCCAGCTTCTCGATGGCCCTGTACGCGTTATCCGGCAAGCCGCCGCTGCAGCCGTCGTCGAGATCGTCGCAGTCCACCAGCTCTTGCTCGGACAGAGACAGCAGCTGGCCGTGCTGGATCGCGTACTGGCCCTCGACGTTGCCCGTCACCGAGAAGGCCCAGCACGAGCCGCAACTGCCCTGATTCTTCACCGGAGTCACGACACCCTTCTTTCGCCAGTCGAAGGTGGGTGGTAGATCAATGTCCGGGATCTCGGCCTCGCGCAGAGGGATCTCGTTCTCCGATCGCAGGTCCGGCCGTAAGCCGAGATAACGCTCTCGGAATTCTTCGCGCGACACGTCGGCGAACATGTTAACGCCGTAGCGACCGGTCCCCTCCTCGTTCTGCTGCAGAAGATCGATGATACCGAGATTCTCGCGGAATATCCGCAGCCGCAGATTCCTCTCCTCCGGCGTCGAGTACGTCCGATTGTAGGTCTCCGCGAACTTGTCGAACAGCCGCTCAACCCGCATGTCTTCGGCGATCTGCAGCATGTTCTTGCTGTAATTAGTGCCGCGCAGGGATCGTTTTCTCCTCTTGCTTTGCGACGGTGAGCAGTCCACCGTGATCTCGGGCGAGCCCTGATCGAGCCACGGTCGCGACCACACGTTTATGATGCACTCTTTCACCTCGCCACCCGCCAGCACCTGGCAGTTGTTGTTGGTACCCTTCGGGCAGTCGCTGACGCCCACCCTGGCCTTGATCTTGTAAAGTTTACCCTGGACCACCTGGACGCTCGCCTCGACGATCTCCACTATAGCCGGCTCGTTCGGGTCGTTCGACTGCGCGGAAAGTTTGTGCAGCGCTTTATCGGCGTACACCTGGATCTCGGCATTGTCCACGGGGATGGGCGAGGGGGCACCGACTAAGCGCTTCGATCGTTTCCTCCTGTTATTAACAGTCTCTTTATCACTCGCCTTGAAGTCCTCCACCTTCTTCCGCAGAAACTTCTCTTCCTTGACCTCTTTCATGGCTCCGCCAGTCGTGTCGACGGTGACATCTTCCACTTTGACCGGCAGATCGAAGTCCTCCAGGAACTCCCTGTACTCCTTCGCCTTATCCGTGAAGCCCAAAACCTTCTCGTCGTCCTGACTCTTGTTTAACACCACCTTTACGGCGGATTCCGTCACCTCGGCCTCCTCGGGCTCCTTCGAGGGCGTCGACGGCACATGGGTGTAATTGTCCAGCATCTCCTTCAGGCTCTCGTAGACGTCAGCCATCTCGGTGCCAGCCGGCTTCGCCTCGTCGTACTTGACCGTCACTAGGGACTCGCTCTCCAGACTCGACGACCTCTGTGGCTGGCCGTTGGCGCTGGACGCGTTCTCGGGATCTGTACAGTTGTTCTTGGTGATCCTGAGGGACGACTGTTGCCACGGCCGCTGCTCAAACGTCACCAGGCATAGCTTGGTCGGCACGGTCGTTCGCAACAAACACTCCTGTTCCTGCTCCAGGGCGTTCTTCAGGCACTCGGACTCGCCTATCTGCAGCAGCAGCTGATACTGTATCACGTTGGACGAGACCGGTACCGAACGAGTGACCCTCACGATGCTCATCAGCTTGTGCTTGTAATCGCCCGCGGTCCGTTCGTCCATCGACCGCAACGCCTGCTCGCCGAAGGCGAGAAGACCCGGCAGATTCGGATTCAGCTCGTACGGACAGCCCGGGCAATAGCCGGAGGCGCGCATGGCGATGAACGGCCTGACGTTCTCGTCGCCGGTCTCCTGGATCTCATGGTCCAGCTCCACGCTACGATTGCTGTTGACCTGCTCGGCCAGACTCTCCTGAGTGACCTGAGAGTCCTCCTGCTCCTGGTAGCTCTGCTGCTCCTGCGACATGTCGTTCTGCGCGTCGGCCGGGTAGAAGTACATGCATTGAATCGAGTCGTTCAGCGTCTCCACGTCGCCGTGCTCGTCCTGCTTCAGGTCGATGGTGCAGGCCTCCCTGGGACATGACTCCGTTCCGCATATCGGGCTCAGGTCGTACGTGAATTTGTACACCTTGTAAGGCGGCTCCTCCTGCAACAGCAACAGCGAAGTTATTTAAACGTCCACGTTTTACAAGTTATCAGGCTTATTGATATAATTGATCGAAATGAGCCTCGTTTATAAATCTAGCCGCCACGGCGATTATCTCGCTGTTGCGAAACATGACACTGGATAATATTTTATGCTTGGAAACAGAAATCTGCTGCGCAGTAACATTTCCCACATTCCCTCGTCCGAGCACAGCTTGACCCGAGTACAACTTGGCCTGATAACCCAGAACGCCTTTATTATCTCAGTTTATCGCCGCCTCCGAGCACAGGCACAGAAATATATACACCTTGACACGCATCAATGGAATACATTTGCATTATTGACGCGCCATGCGATCAGAAATAAAACAAAATCTATTATCTTATCTACATTTTTATAAGTGGTTTCGTTTAATATTACTCTCGAGAAAATAAAGCGAGATATACGAGAAAGTCGCACGTTTTACTCTAACCGAGACAGACTTGTTCCGACATATTTGCCTTTCTTTCTAAATGACCACGTAACGCCAATTATTCGCATCAGCCGAAAGTCACGCGCGGCACTGTGCACTCTTGAAAGAATCCAGCATTCAACACGTTTATCCTCGAGGATCTTAGAATCGATATCTCGTGATCTGCAAACATTCGTCGAGCGTGTCTTCCTAGGAAAACAAGTCAAAATCATTTTAATCGCTTGATGCCTCGAGTCTTGATGCCACTTCTTCTTCTTCTTATGATTTAATTAGCGCCCAGATACTAAAGCGGGCCTGAAGCACCAGGCTCAAATATTAACGTGTAATTTCAACGTGTAATAATGGTAATGCAAAGTATGAAAGCGTATGTGTGCAATGTGTAAAACCAACGGCACACGATACTATTTTTCCTACTGGATTACTTACGAAACCCAACAAGGATGGTGAGTTTTAGATCAGGTGGTTTAAAGCTGAATCCTGATTGGTTCTCGTAAGCAATCCAGTAGGAAAAATAGTATCGTGTGCCGTTGGTTTAAATGTATGTGTGCGTCCAGTGGTGAATTCGGGTCCGTGGGCTCATTAGCTCCCAAAAGAATGTGGTTCAATACCATCTGCGGGTCTTTGCCACTACTAGCTTCTTTGTGTCTCTAGTGCCACGAGCAAAGATTATCCACAAGTAGAATCCAGCATACAATATTTAGAACTCATTCTTGCGGTGAAAAACAAAAGGGTATCTTCGTACCTTCAGAATCTTACCTTAGATTTCTTTACGATGTTTCCCAAAATATTATCTAATAATTCTCTTTAAGAAAACTTATGCAAAATCACGGCCTTTCGTATTAATAGTGACGTAAGCTAATCTCTTAGGCCCGGTTTCACCAACGTCGCTTAACTTTAAGCTTAGTTTAATTCGTTCTTTGTCTCTTTTCAACTGTTACTTTAGAAAGAGACAAAGAACGAATTAAGCTAAGCTTAAAGTTAAACAACGTTGGTGAAACCGGGCCTTAATCAATCCACGCAGCCTGCGGTATTTACAATTTAGAGCCTGATCAGAATGGCTGTCTTGCCTTCTTAAGTCACAAGACAGTTATTGTGAGTTACTTCAAGACAAAGATTTAAAACATAAAACATTGTCTTAAGAGTACAAGACAGCCGTTCTGCTCAGGCCCTGAATCTTCATCGCGCTGACGAAAACAACAAAGCGCGAGGTAATTTACAATTCAATATTCGTCACCAACGCAACGGCGAGCAAATAATCTTATTACAGAATTCTCATCTTCGCTTCCCAAGTATTTCATATTTAAACCGCGGACAATTCAAGCGGCTAATATTAGCCTTCATCTCCTCGACGCTGTACGCACCTCGCGACGCATTGTATGTACACTAGGAATCACCAATGCCTTCCCACATGAATTTGCGCACATATCGACACATGTATACATTTTGCGTATACATACATGGAAAATGTACATGTGTTCTACCTAGTGGGAATCACCGATGCCTTCTCCTATGAATTTAGGCACAGGTAGCACACATATACATTATGGAAAATGTGTATGTGTTCTACTAAATGTGTACGAGCTAGTGGGAATCACTGATGCCTTCTTCTATAAATTTAGACCTATACACATTTAGTAAAACACACACACATTTTCCATATATTGTAAATGTAAAATGTATGAATCTGTCGATAAGTGCAAATTCGTGTAGGAAGGCATCAAATGATTTCTAGGGGTCAATTCTGTATCTTACAATGTGAAAATGCCAAAAGTGAGCGGTTTTGTCTCTAAGACAAAGCTACTCACTTTCAGCATTTTCACAATAGTGTAAGATATAGAATTGACCCTCTAGTGTACCGTACGGTCATGGTCGGAAAGACTGTCCGACGTTTTACAAGAAGTTTTCGGAATACTCGTATGTATCATTGCATAGATATTTGTACGTATCATTCCTTTGCTTTAACAGAGGGGAAAACCGCTGACCAAAATCTTGTACACCAATGCCCACTGGGCATTACTTTAGCTTATTATCTCATTTTATCTTTATAATGCCCCAGCAAGCCCTAATGCCTAAACTAATGCCCAAAAAATGCCCAGTAATGCCGCAAGTCTGTACACAATGCCCTCAGCGGTTTACCCCTCGGCTTTAACAATGTGTCACCGCACATATCCATGAAGCAAAGGCTATAAATCTCTCGCACGATAGACTGCATTTCCGAAATTGATCATACAACGTCGAACAGCCTTTCGAACCACGACTGTACATGTCCGCAAGCCAAGTCCCTTTCTGTCGCCGCTGACGGTGGTCGTCGTCGAACAAAGGAGGACTCGTCGACTGTCGCTGGCTGGCAAAGTAAACATAGTAAAACAAAAGCGCTGCGACGGTCGGAATCTCCACATTCTCCACTGACCGTGGAAATTCCCGTGACGTTGTCACGCGAAGACTCACCAGCTCCTGCGCATTTATCAGATTGCCGTGCGCGTACAGGTGGTGCGTGGGCGAGTGGTCGTTCAGGGCCCTCCACGCCTTCTCCAGCAGCCGCGACGGCACCTGCGTCAGGGGGATGTTGACCGGGTTCGCGCGCACCGCCTGCGCGGCCAGGCAGGCCAGGTAGAGGAGCGCGAGGCAAGCCGTCGCGCCGCTTCGCTCTGCCATTTTGCGGGACGCGGCGGCGTCGTCGCGCACGGACTCGGGACTCTCCGAATCGACCGCGCTTGACCCTCGAAGTGAGAAATCGGGGACCACACACGCGAACGTTCTCGTGAGATGTCGAAAACTGTCACTGTCAGCGACTGACTGACTGCTTGGTTGGCTGGCGCCTGGCGCGCGGCGACCGCCAATTCCGTCCCTCTCTTGTCAGCTGCGCGGATCGCCCTTCCAAACGCTCAGTGAAGTGAGAGACGGACGATCGACGCCACCGTGGAGAGAAAGAGAGAGAGAGAAAGAGAGAGAGAGAGTGAGAGGGAGAGGGAGGGAGGGAGAGGGAAGCAAGTGCAGAAGATGCACCTAGGAGTAGATCTCTTCTGCAATGACAACGAAGCGACTGGAAATTCGTTTGTTTCGGCTACCGCGTTACATTTGTCGTACGAGAGATTTTTCAAGCGCGTCGATCAGCTGCAGAATAGAACATTAAGTTTCTAGAGACTCAAGGGCTTTTCTATTGCGACAAATGTAATAGCACTCTTCGGTTGCACATTCGCGTTGCGTCATGCACGTGTCATAAGGCGATTTTTAGCGATTGCTTGGTACATATACCAAAGTGTACTTACATACACTCGGCGTCATGAATGCTTTTACGCCTGAAAATAGCCGTTAAGTTCAATATATTTCAATAGAACATTTTATTAAAATAAATTTTCTTGGAGATCCCTTAGCGTCCTTTTTGCACCATTTTTGTTGCATATCTTCGTATATCTGGGGCTCTAAAAGTCGAAAATTGACGAACAGATTCGTCGCTGGTTTCTGCGACGTAGTCGATGAAGTAAATGCGACGTAAAATTTTAAGAAAATGACCAATCGCAGTCGATTATTCTCCTCACATTTGATTGTGGTAGGCTACTTTCTTAAATCTTGCGTTTTAAAGATCTCATTGTAGAGAATGAAAGTGACGAAATGTACATTCGTACTAAAGTAATACTGTACGTCACGCGCAAGGTGAACGAGAACGTGTATTTAGCCAATTTAGCCGGAACCGCAATCAGACAACTGACGAACGCGTACGATGCGAGGAATAAAACTCAGCCCACACGAATGTAAAACCGGATGTAATTGCGTTTGCATACGCGCAACTCTGCGGGTTTCCCAGATTTTTAATTGCCGCGCAAACGCGCCGTGATTAAAATAATGTATTATCCCAAAATTGACACATTCCGTGCTGCGAATAAAAACCTTATCGTTGCTCTAATTAATCAACGTCCTGCGACGCCGAGGCAAAAACTCTCGCCGCGGCAAGTTCTTCTGTCAACGAAAGTAAACGCTTCGGCGAGACGTCGGTAGCTTCCTTTAAACTCTTTCTCATTCGTCGAAAATGATGTACTTCAACTCTTTCAGTTATAAAAATCTCAATTACTCAATTTTAATTTTCACGCGTGAAATGATGTGAAGACATTGGCCCACGTTCAGCGGAGAAAGTGGCTCAGTGAACGCTTGCGCTGATTGGATTAATTTAGAAGAATAGTTCCATCAGCACAGATCTAAAAGTATAACCCAATCAGCGCAAAGCACTTGCTGAGCAATTTTTTCTGCAGAACGCAGCCCATGTCTAAAATGTTTGATTGTATATTCTAACAAAGATCGTAATAGCGTAAGAGTGTACCTAATCTATCGTTTCGTCTCTCGATTTGTAAGAAAAAGATATTGTATAAAGTTTTTATTGGAAGAAAAAAAAAGAATAAAATTCGAGACCGAATAAGGGATTAGATTAAAACACAGTTGTTACATTGAACTGCACAATGAAATGCGAAAAATGCCGGATAGCCCTCAATCGATGATTCGACTTTTTAATTTGCCGCTCGCTTCCTACGCTTGATCCCGTGGGAAAATCGATAAAAAAATTGAATGGCATGCGTTTATTTGAAAATTCGATCGTGTCTCTGTAAATTGATACTGAAGACGACGTGTGCGATCGACAATTTTTAATTGTACGTAATTGATCATTATCGAATAATATCACGAACGTTAAAGTGTTCCTGTACCTAATTAATTAATAATTATTATTGTATATCAAAAATATTGATGAGAATAATAATGCGATTTTCACTTAATCAAATGAATTACGATGTTGTACAATTGGTTTAAAATTTTGTCCCGTAATCCTGCACCTCAGTTTTATGTGAGGAGAGTACGAGAAAAGAAATGCGATTCGGCGATGCGCGTCGTCAAGACGTCAACGGCGATTGTGTTGTCGAGCTCTGTTTCGCCGCCACGAGGAGGAAATTTCGCGGACCAGATCGAAGGCGTCCGTCCGCCCATTTGAGAATGAACCCGGGGAGATCCTCCGACAATGAGGAGATGTCTGCAGTAAAATTGATACGGCTGGAAAAGCCTCTTAAGTTAAGGCCCGGTCTACAATGAGTTGTTAGTCGTTAGTCAGAAGTCGGAACCCACATAGCACAAATGACTGTTTGCCGGCTGATAGTCGACATTTTTTAGTCACCTTGAAGTCAACTTTTGGAGTCGACATTTAGTCTACTATTTATAAGATGGTTTATTGTCGACTTTAACTATAGACTGAAAGTCGATCTATAGTCGACATTTTCAGGAAGTTTAAAGTCGCCTTTCGGTGAAGCGAAAAATTAACTAAAAAATATTTTTTCGTCTTACCGAAAGATATAAAAATCTTTTTTCTTATTTTTTTCGGCAAAGTGCAAAAATGTGTAAAAAATATCTTTCTGATCAATATGTCGAACCGATATA